TTGGTTATCTGCTTATTTGTATACAATTCTACTACTAAAACTATAGTACCCGTCGATTCAGTCAGTAACAACGTAGAACTTCGCACGTACGTACATCGGTTCGAGTTTCCATGCCACAATTAGCACAGAGATGCAGTTGTCGATTCAAATCCCGTAGTGGTAGTAGTAGTAAGAGTATAAGCAGTGATCGGAAATATTAAGGCTTGAAGATGTTATTCAAGGAGTATAATCCAGTGAAATAAATTTGGAAAGCGAAAAAAAGGAATACGAAGAATTCAGATTAGAATTTGAGAGAACACAAAGAGTGGGTGCACCTGCGCCATTGCTAACGATTTTCAGCCATGTCATTCAGGGTCTCTAACCATCGGTTGCTATCATCTCGCGGTCCCCAACCAGGTAGTCTACACCTACCAACATGGTTCAGTCCACTTGTCAATTCTATACCATAAAATATCTCATATCGGGGTAGTCGGTGGTTGGGCATAAGCAACAAATGTCCCAGCCATTTCAACTGATGAATTTTCATGACTTCATCAATTAATTTGTTATTCTTACCTAGTTGGTACCCGTTTCCTGCATTACTTACTCGGTCGTCCCACGATATACGAGCAATGCTTCGAAGACACATGATCGAATACTAGTAACCTACGAATATCCTCTACTCTTATCGGAACGAACTGCTGTGCAGTAAACCGTTATATGCCTCCGTTACCCATGGTCCTAATCATATATATTTCTGCTAAGTAACTGGAAACGTATTTAAGTTGTAATTATTATTAAGTGAGGTCGGCATATTTACTCCATTAGCAAGAAAATTTTAAAATATTTTCAAGTCATATACTTTAGTATCAAAAGTTTAATTATCAACAAAAAAAATTTAGAATTTCAGGAGTTTGGTTCATTTCGACATACATTACATTCTACATGACACTATTTGATATTTTACATAATTGAACTATGAACTACCGAATATCGCTTCTATCTGCTTAAAGTTTAAGCGGTTCATAATGTTGGCTAAGGTTAAGTATACTGTCCCTTTCGACCATTACTGTATTTGGCTCTGTTCGTTATTAAGGTACAATATATAATGCATCCCAGTGTCTGGAGAAGACCTGTTTAATAATATGTATTTTGCCCTCTTTATTTAAAACGTGTTTCAACTAAAAACCTTTTTATTTAGCATGAATTAATGACATGATACTAAACAATGTACATTATACTTTCCCCGTTTGTATAGGGCATCTTATTTAAGGAGTATTACATAACATTGATTTGATATGAATTTTGAATATTGTACCGAGCAGATAAAATTTATCTGAATCATTCTACAACATTAGCTTATGACATATTAGATTATATTTTGATCACATATTAAAAAATATTTTTATACAAATTAAAAAGGTCAAACTAAACTAATGAAGATAAACAAATAACAAGGCTAATGAGAAAAAAATCATCAATCGTATCACAATTGTTGTTGAAATCAGTAATAACAGAGTAAGTTTAATGTATTTTACAATACACAAGAGGATCCGAATTTTCGTATGATTAATAGCTCAACAACATTAAATACATTCTCTAGATCACTCCTATATCAAACTAAAATGACTGGATTTAGTTCAGTCTTATGACCTGTTCCAGCGGTATATTTTTTTAAAGGGAATGATTGCTTAAAATAATATACTGGCAATTAAAAGTTTTGCCATTACCTATTTAGGATAGTAAATCAAGATTTACTACTCTAGATCTGGAATCAATCAAGATTAACTGTCAATTTAAATTTTAACTTAAATCAATACAATATCATAATTATGCCTCATGAGGATTCATTATTGAACTAGTATAATTCCTAAAAGGATTGTTGTTTGGAAGACAATATTGTTTGTTTCATACAAATGATATTGTCTTTTGAAAATGAAGATATGAGTAAACTTACTTCTCCTCTGTAAAGGATAATCAACACAATAAACTGATGTTATACATGGTGACAGTGAGGTTAAATAAACAAAGAACAAGAAGAATGGTCAGATGTATGGCTAGCTCCTGAACACACCGTAAATTTCTGAAACCAAAAAAGTTCTATTGCTTATCTAAGAATTAGAAGAAAACATCGATCATACCTCATCTTATTATTTTAAAATGACCTACTCTGTGCTTCACGAGCTCACCTTAAAGATTATGCATTCGATTAACCTTAAGAAAATATTTATATTCAATTTACAGAATGGTTCTAATATTTTCAGAGAATCGATAGGATTAATTTAGACTAGGAGTACATAATTTAATCTGTTGTCTATGTTATATTAATTGGATGCCGTGGTTGGCGATTATCGAATCCATATACAGTCCTGTGATACTGAGTGTGAAATTTTTGTATGGACGTGTCTGAATAAAACAATAATACTGGAATTAAATATCTTAATAAGTGAAGTTAATATGATCTCATTTATAGGTAAACTACTTTACTAAGTAGATATCTGTATAATAACAACTTCTGCCCCCCACCTTTTACACAAACAAGTCGTTTAAAACCGAATTTCCTTGTTGTACAAAGGTGGCTAATAGATTAACGAACATCGCTTTACTAATTTAACATTTTTTAACGAATGCTTCCATTATTTTATAGAAATTATTTATCTCCTCATCGTACTTCATTCAATTTGATCGATGCATTTCTTACTTAGTTTAGTCATGATCTAAGCTGTTGTACGGTATTATCACTAGATACATGATTTCTCTAATGAAAATGTTTCCGTACTAGCTACTGTACCGTTTTTCTTCTTAAACATATTTACAAACTGTGAGCAGTTCGTTATTGTCCATATGATTAGTAAAAAATTATATTGATATTTTGTTTGCCTGGTCCTACGTTGTAGCTGACTGACTGACTGTTTGCTATGATCGATTTCTTTTATATGGATTGAACATGTGTGGATGAAAAAAATCCTCAGAATCACATACTATTTTATCATTCCACAACTTCAGTATGCAAAACTACATTTCGTATTTGGATTAATAAGTAAATATTTAAAGCGTATTAAATTAAATGAGTCTCCTTCACACCACAATGTTTGTTCCCTTTATTCCAAAGACCATACTTAAAAAACAATGCTCAATTGTTGTAAAGATACTTATGTACACGACTATAGCCTAGAAAGTGTCAACATACTCCATTTCGAAACATGTACTACGGTCGTTATTACATGCCTAAAGAACTACGAATTTTAGCCACTCATCACACTTTGAGTGTGAGAGCTAATACTACAACCCGGTTTTGCAAACTGAAGTAGGGAGAGGACAGTTAGTTAAAAACTTTAACCACTAAGCCATATATATATATATATATATATATATATATATATATATATATATATATATATATATATATATAACAGAACACGAAGTTCGACTTATTCAACGCTTTGTTGTAACAGATTACTTACTACTCATGGATGTTTGCATTAACTTCGACAGATGGAAATATTCGTAATAAATATTACGAGAAAGAACTGGGATACATAAGTCTAGGTTCGACGAAATGGTTAGGATTTTAAATTTATGAAACCTAATTAAATCAAGAATATATGAACTTTCAGAAATTTTATTTGTGTTGTACTAATTGGTTGATGTGTGACAAATCTAGTTTAGTGAATCTTACGACTTATAGCTAGCGTACTGGTTTTATTTATATGCCAAGAAAGAAAAAACGAAAACTTATGACGATGGAATGAATGGAAAAGACCATGAACAGATTTCACTGGAAATCAGAAATTAATGGATATCAGTTTTAATCTGAAATATGTGGTCACAGTTACACTGGACTACACAAAATATCTTACACTTTTGTAGACAGAAGAAAAGCTAACAGTTCTCATCATGTGGTTCATGGATAGATACATAACTAGTTAGGAAACCATTTTAAAATAGAAAAATGATTGTAAATTTGTTTTATCCTGATTCAGAAACTACTAAGTAATATTCACTTTTAAATCCATAAGCGATAGATAATAGAACTTTCATTGTTTATTAACTTTTTCCAACAGAGGATCTTTTAAATTTGCTAATATAGTTCCGTAAAAGTCGACACCCTTGTCTATTTGAAATGGAATCATAGTTTTATGTGACACCTAATAACGAATTTAAAACGACTCTCCAAAATAACTTTTTCAGGAAAGTGTTAGCAGACGACATACCAAAAAATACACTTACTTAAGAAACCAGTCTATTTCAAATTGAACAAAATTCCTCGTTGCCATTATGTTGTATATCAATGTGAAGTCAGAATCTATCACTCTGATTCTCTTCTAGTAAAATGTAGATGTAACTTTCAATGTAATCTTACTATTACAAATAAACTGAATGTTACAAGCTAAAAAATTTGTACAGAAATCCTTGGTATGTGCATATTGTCCACTACTTTTATTTCAACGGTAATCCTACACCCATTACATTTTTATCCTAACTCTCATCGTTTTGGAAAATACTCACCTCTGACATAACTAATGTACAGTTTAGGTGTGATGCCACGCATAGCACAGGTTAGTAGGATCGTTAGACTAAAGTAAGTTTACTTTCCAACATTAGAATGTCAACTGATCCTTGTATATGATTCAAGACCACCATAAACAGTGAATATATCTAGTTACTCAGTTAAATAACCCCATATTTCGGAAACTGGCAAAAATATTTAATTCAATAATTTAAATTTATCGAAACACGAAGTACTTTGTACTTGAGTGCTATTTACAAAACGTGTAGTGCGTCCTAAACATTTGTCAATAGACTTCACTTACCAGTTTGTCCATCCCCAGTATTTCGCTACATCCAACTAAATCTATTCGAGTAACAATTAAGAGCTTCAGTTCATATTGCACAATCACTACGAAAAAAGTTCCTGACTTAACTTTTATTTACTGAGACAAATGTTTTTTTTTAGACATACACGTATCCAAGAAATATTTTTTTATTTTCGAACTTCAGTAACGACAAAACACGAAACTGTCAGAAAGAAATGCATAAACTGTGGTTATTCAACAAAATAAGGCAAAATGAGAATAAACTAAGCACATCTGAAGTGCAATTTTAAGAGACCAAAAGGGATCTGTTACTGGAATTCCAGTATAAAGGGAAATATTCACAGAAAAGTATTGACAGAATTAAATAGTTACGCAAACAAGTATATCGCAATCTTGTGAAGAAAATTAAACTATGTACACTGTTTCCGCACATGCGAAAACTACGCAGATCTTATATAGAAAATAAATTTACAAGATCTGGTAAGGAATGAAATTAACCCGACGAAATTTCTCGGAGTCTCTAATCTAGGTACACGAGTTTTGCAAATTCAAAAGAATATATTAGTTCTTGAAGACTCTGCTTGTTCTATTTCTTCTAGCGTTTTCGCCTTCGTTTGATTAAAGGATGGATTAGATCTAAGTAGTTGTTTTGATTTTTCCCACTCAACGAGTTGTGATAACAAAGTCAAACTTCCATTACTAGTTAGAGATTCATTAACCTTAGTTTGGTGTTGAGCAGAGGAATTCTTATTCCAATTAATAGATGACGCTAGTGATGGGCTTGAGCTTTGGAACGGCAATAAATTTCCATAGTTTTGTTTCGAACAAGGTAAAGATCCATGAGAATTATTTAGATTTGAGGACTCAGTACTGCCAAGGTAGAACTGCTTCACATTCATATCAAGCAGACGATGGCTAGAATCTGAAGATAATAATTACAAAAAATTAAAAATATTCATAAAACATGAAATAACTGCAGTAAACTAAGAGTTAATTTTGCTTTAACGCAGCATAACTCACCTAGGTTCGTTGTATGCAATATGTAAACGATCAGATCAGAGTATGGACATGTCTTTACAGTGACTACTCACTTTTCAAGGTTGAAATCGTACTACAGACTTTACAAGGACGTTGGTAGTAACTGTGTTTAATGTAGAAAACGAGCATATCTACCAATTTATTTCACACAGATGAGGGGTTAAACATCATCAGTTAGAAATAACACAAATTTCCGATCCCAACACCAAAATCTAGAGTCGTTTGCAACACTCTCCAAAATATCACGTTACCTGGCTGAAGCAATTGTCAATTACAACTTGGGTCTACGTTATAATAATTATGCGACTCATTTATATTAAAGGCCTAATTGGAGAATGGTAGATTTAAATAGGCTCCTCCCAACTCTTGATAAAGTTGACAGGACTAAAGTTAATTTAAAGCGAGAGATTTTAGTGGGTTATGATGCGTTGAACTCTTTTACGATAGTTTAGGTTAACCAATTCGACAAAATGAAACACCAGCTAATCTGGGAAATGAACATAATCTCATCCACCTGACCACAAAGTGTAAGCAAGGATGGGAATTCTCTTGTGATAGCTGAATAGGAATTAGTTTGACTAGAACATTAGCTTCAATAATTAACCAACACCGAAATAGGGTTTGTAAACAACAAATCCAACAGGTTTCAGATTTGTACATCGATATTCAAATCAGATATTGACTTTCACATTTTGGAACACAGACGAAGGCTCACTACTTCAGCAATGTTGGTTAAGCTCAAATATATGAGGAACGATTATCATAATATTCGACTTTAAGTGCTGTTCGACAGCTTTTGTCATTTTCATTGAAGTAAATTAGTTTAGCGTGGTAACCATCTGTCCCAGAAGTCTCATCAGCCCTGGTTAAGTGGTATTTGACGGGATACCGGCACGGATTCCGAAGGCTCGCTTGACTTTTGTCAGCATGAGTCACCCGTGGTGTAGGTAAGATGTCTGTTTGCAAAACAAGAACGAATAAGCTGAACAGCAACTGGTTTGATCTTAGCCTTATGGTTGTGAAACCTGACCTTAAAAAACAAATATCCGGTTGTTACTGCTTGATTAAAAGTAACCATGAAGCATTGTTAGAGAATACTGGAACCACCGAGTAAACAGGGCTGAAGCTAGATGCAAGATACAAAGCAAAATGATAAAACTTTAAAAGAATACTGATGATGAAGCTATACGCTTTGGAGATGACTGTTAATTGATAATTTTGCTCCTAAGAACAGAAAGCAAATGACAAAGGAACAGAACAGAATGCTTACGGGAAACAGCTTACTATTGTAGTATTCATGTTCGGGAAGTAGTATGGCTTTGATTATGAATAGGCATTATGATAAGAATTACTCAGGCATCAATCTTAGTTTGATGCTTCGAGTGAAAAGTTTGGTAAAACTAAATGAGATGAACGAATCGCAAGGTGAGCAATGTCAGTTCAAATTAGTCAAACTTCCGACAAAAAGGAGTCAATTATGAGTTATGTGGAAATTGCATTTCACAATGTAGTCATTAAGATTGTACCACATGTAAGAGGACAAGTAGTCTTAGACACAACTAACCTTCACAACTACATACACACAAAGAAACGGCATTACCTACCTTGGTGAACTGATGGATTGACAGACAAATGGCTTTGGCTATTATTGAAAGTAGAGTTTGGTGCCTGTTTATTTGAGTTGTAATCAGCAAATATATTTTGTTGGGCCTTAACTATAGGTCTTCCAGGTAATCCTGAGTCCGGAGTTTTAATAGCTTGAAATCTAGATGCATCAGGATACAAACCTAAACTTAGATTCAGTAAAACTGCTGTTATTACCTAAGGGGTGCAATTGTGGGCTTGTGTGAGCAGCAACATCCCTCGTGCCATTCCAAATTTGACGAAGGGAACCTAAAAAGTAATTTAAGGAAAATCACTATACCATGCAAAGGTAGATCGACATCACAAGGTACATCAAGGGGGACACCTGGGCTTTGCAATCGACTAATACATGGTCCTGCAGACGTGGCATCTCCCTAAAAGAAAGAAGAGTTAGATAGATGAGAAAATGAAATTTTTATACCAAGTTCAGTCAATCAGTCAGCTACAAAGTAGGACCAGGCACATATATGCACTGGTTCAAGCTGCCACACCTCATTAACACAAGATGATCAAATTCATAGCAGCTACTTCAATGGTAGTACCAAGCTATTAAGAAACAAACGCAAACCATTGTATTGAGCCAATAAGAAAATAGTAAACATGTGAGACTTTATCGATAGTTAATGTCCACAGAAAAGATTGCATACCATAAAATTTGAGACCAGTCCAAAATGTGAGTGTGAATTTTGCTGATTTGTAGACTGAGAGTAGACGGAGTTTTGCTGTTTTCTGATCATCAGTGATTGCAAAATAGGCACCAGGTTGGAAGTCGTTCCTGAATGAGAAAACAAGCTACCGTTTTTTGATGAGCCAATAGGTATGCCACGAGATTTGATGGCTTGATCATCTATGAAAGGATCCGAATAGTGAGTAAGAGGATCAACGATTGGATCGATTGATTCGTTTATATCAGTTGAATCTCCTTGAGGTAATTTAAGCTGAGCTTCAATTTCTTCAACAGTTAGTACTGCTGGTTTTGGTTCTATATATAATTAAGTTATATGATTATCAGGGTGCACTCACCTTTGACCGGCCCAACATTCGGGGGATAAACAGTGCCATGTCCAAGTAGAATAGAGCGAAGCTTATTTTCAACTTGAAGAGTTGAAAAAGAACTAGGATTTGTAGATACCATACCACTGTTCTTTTCAGGACTGAGATGACTGGCAGAATTTCCGCACGGACCTTTCAGCAACCTAAGTAACTGTTCGTTGATATTGTCTAAAGAAGCTGGTTTGTTCGGAAGCTTATTTTCATCTGATATCTCATTCTTTTGAAACAGGTGTTTGAAACGGCTTCCTTGATTGTCGGACACCACGTGATCCGTGACACTCGTTGTGGATTTGCTTGGTTGTTCAGGGAATGGATTGCTGTCGTCTTCCAAGGCTTTGTCATCAAAAACGTTTCGAGTACTAATGCTCGAATTTGTCAATATACTATCATCAACTTGCGAAAGATCATTTTCCACTCCTACGCACTTTCTGGGTGAGCCACATTCCACGGTTTCTTCTAAAATTCCTCCAAGTTCAATCGTTTCGTTAACCGTGGTAGGACCTTCTGCAAACCACTCAGGTTCATCATCGCTGTGCGAACAAGAAATTCGACGGTCATAACTGTAACGGTCTTCTTTGCTGTGGTTTTTAACAAACGGAGCACTTTCAGCATGTCTTCCCAGCCCACGATCACGACCTCGACCAGAGCCACGAATATCGTTGGACCGATACTCTCTTTTGTAGTCACTAGTCGTTTTACAATGCTGCTTGTCGTAGGATCGGTTTTCTGAGTTAAATTTAGGCCAACGAGTAGAACTGTTGGCATCTGACGTTTCACGACTTTGAGGCTGTTGAGAGACATGACAACCAGTGTTCCACGAACGTTTTTGAGGACCAAGGACTATGTTGGAAGCATCTCGAGTCTTCTCTGTACAAACCGTTCGTTAATGAATTTACTTAACTTACCACCTCCCTGAGTTTTAGAAAAAGAATTGGGTCTAGGCCTTCCGCGAGTTGAACGCATAACAGAAGCATTTATCCGGGAGAATTCGTCCGAAAATTCAGCAGTAGAAACTGCATTTTCTTTAACTGCCAGGATTTCTTCCTAATAGCGTAGAACTTTATTTTGTCGAATAAACTTACTCGAGAATAATGGATCCGAGAGCTCTTAGACTCACATTGACCATCAGACTTACATTCACCCATTTGAAAAACGCAGGGAGGATTGTCAATTTGATAAGTGGCCAGGAAACAGCCAAAAACAAACCCAATACCTGCAACAACCCAATCCCTTACTAAGAGTACATGAAATCGTAAGCTCCAAACAATCCGCCTCACCAACGGGAAGTAGCGCTGCAATACAAATTCAATCGTGAAATTTATAGCTACAACTTTTCTAAATAAGCCGATCATGCCCAACTGAGACTCCAGAAGTGCAATCTTTGAGGGACTAGATAGCTCTCTGCTTCACTAGAGCATGAGGGGGCATCAACTTATATCTTTGTGATGTTAGAGTCCTCACAATTGATTGTGGTATCTCCTTTTCTTTAGAGGTATTGTGGCGTTTGTTTATCATGACCACTAATTTGTACATCGTTTGTGTTTAAATACGGTTACAACTTTAAATACGATCTGAAGAGCCAGTCAGAATGAAATTCATGCGCGTAAATGTAAACGCTACGTTTAACATGAATTGGAAACACTGTTGTTTACTTCTGAAAACGCGTATTATGCTAAAGAAAAGTCACCTTTGCCAACGTAGGATAGATTGATAGTGTTAAAAGCATCAAATATTCAGTTCCGTCACTGCAGATTGCATATAACAGGTAAATCGACCCAATACACCAATTCGTATAAACACCCATGAACTAGATCCATTTAAATTTTAAGCAAGAGATAATCAAACAATTCCTAATGCGCTTTTTGTAAAATTCATCTTTCCGTGTGGTTACAGAGCACCTTTAGGTCATATCTGATGCCCGTTTGTGAGAAAAACAGCAATCCTGAACTACTTACTCATACTTCGAATACATACCCCTAACTCGGAACAGCGTGAAGACGCTTGGAACTGGGACGCTCGATTCACTATTAGAACTAGAGAGGACAGAAAGCGTATCTATAAAAACGAATTTATACGACGTCATTTTTTCATTTTTCTGACAAAGTATGGAGATGGCTTGTAAAGATGGCACAAGTATTCGGAGTTTTAAAACACTTTTGCCCATAATACCTTTAAAATGGAAGTATACCAACCCAGTCAAATCAGAAGTCAGAAATAAAGTGGTTTAAAAATATATTTGCAAGGCTACCGTTATGCCAAGAGGCGTTTAATCTAAGTTGGTTGGCAGTTGTACGGGATGCGAAGCACGATCTTCTCGTGATCTGGTGCTTATGTGTGACCGAGCGCCTTCATCTAGTTGTGTCCAGTAAAATTAACGAGGTCAGCATCAATGTCGGAAACTCACAGATCTATTTATTTTGAAGACTTTTACTGTTAAACTAGTTTTGTAATAAACTTTTGTCATTTTACACATTTTCCATTGTAGATCACCAACGTAGATGATCTATGTCGAAATGATTGGACGACTACTCGAGTTAGACGTGAATGGTGTGACAAACTAGCTAACGTCGAAGTCACACCTCTTGGTCAGCGCTTTACGTGGACTACTCCATTAACGTATCAAGGTACCATAGATGCTTTAAAGACTGTACAACACAGAGGACATCAATGCAGAAATATGTTAGTTAAAGTAGATGCAAGAGAAAGTAAGACCACTGCCACATAGGCCAGTCCATCGCATACGATTAAGTGATGCGCGTTGGTCGCCCCTGACCTTGACGAGTATCGATGATTTGCTCGATATTCAGTGACTCAACTTCCGGATGGTTTGGTTAGGTCTTAGTGACATTCCGCAGGCCCTACACCATAGTTGCATATAGTTTATACATTCATTGTTTCTGATCGCAAAACAGTTGCCCGAATTCAGGCGTGACGTTTCCGTCGTTGTTTTGTTTTGTGTTTGCAAAACATACTAGTTATCGCTCACAGATCCATTTCTGCCCGTACGCTTCTCGTTCTCACTTTATCGGCTGCTACGTTAACAGTTCTGTAACGTAATTGCTATACACATTTATGGATACAAATAGCATCCTCATAACTCGATTATTCCCGATATACATTACATTGGATCATGCATGTCGTGTCCGGAATTACCAACTATTTATTATAACTATGGATTACATGACAAAATCGCAGACACTCTTGTAACTAACAATGTAAGTAATGAGCAGCATTTTTACATGTGTGTTGATATTTTAATGCACTATTAGTTGTCTTTACAACTTTTTCAGCGACGGCCGCGTCGATCAACCTTGAAGGTCTTTTCGTGACGAGAAATCACGTAAAAAGGTCCTTTGTAAGGCTGTTGCAGATGTTTGCGTACCGAATTTCTGTACTAAGTGGTTCTTATGGATTTATTAGAAAATTTATTATAAAAGACTGTTGTATAAATTATGTAGAGGTGTATATTTACAATTATATGTTTAATTAGAATTGATAATTGGTCAAATGATTTATCACTAAAATAGAATCACCAACGCAATATCCTCAAATGATCAACATCGGAATTCAAAATTACCTTCCATTTTGATCATAACTGATATTTTAATTGTTTCTGTATTAAGTTACACTGTTTGAAATGCAATAAACAACTTCGATGTTGATCAGTATGAGCATAACATTAGGAACTCACCTTGGTTGTTGTGTGTCATTACGGAGTAATTTTTTGTGGTGCTGGATCTGAATGCAATTAGATTGTATAAATGATTGTTATTGAATGATTGCTGTCGAAATATATATGTCGCCAATCCTCGTATATAATCATCGACTTAAATCGTGTTAGTGAATAACGGAATTAAATAAGTCAAATACGAGAATGGATTTTTGAATACGTATATTTTGTACACTCGTTGATCTGGTCAGACAACCAGAGGGACGAAGTGAAGGAAGCAAAGAGAAGAGAACCAAGCTAAATGACACGCAGTGGAGAAGGCATCTGAGCAGATACAATTTAATCAAATGTTAATCGATATTTATATTTAGATGAACATAAGTTATAGACATGTGATGAGTAGGATAGGAAGTGCATACACATACGCTCATATAAAAACAGTCAAGGTTGATTAGCGAATAATTAACAAGGTCAAAATGTGACTCAGGAAAGATGAATAAATTGGCTTGTCCTAAAGCTAGAATAATCCGTGTGAACTTAACATAGCTACCGACACTACAATTTATTTGAGCTCATAAAATTTCATTTTTTATTATTCAGATGACAATCTCTTAACACTCTTGATAGTTACTTCTGATTTTCATACATTCATCAAGCTCTTGTTTAAATGTAACCGTTTCCATTTTTTGTGCTAATCGCCTCCATTACTATTGCTGACAAGGATTGCGAATGTAGACACAGCTTCTAACTATTATTTACACTATCAAATGTTTGTCAATAATTTTTATATAACTATTTATCCACAAAACCCCTTCTGATATAAATTATTTTTTATTGTATATATTGATGAGTACAACGTTACGGATATCTAAAGAGCTGTGATTTGTTAATATTTTACATATTGTTCGTCAGATAATTCTTTCGTTTAGATTTGGAATTTAATGTGTCACTCAATCGTTGAGTTTGTAGTGACACTTCTATCACGAGAACACGATTGGTTTCATGAAAACAATTATTATTATTATGATCAATTGTACCTGTGCTTGTTTAATGTGCTCTTTGTTTAACTGTGCTAATGACGGCTATATTATGCTTCCATTATTATTCTTACACTTTGACTGTGAACTCGCGCGAATTCGGTTACGCTCTGTAACTAAGCTTGTATCTTGGCGTGATCTCGGTATTCTTTCTATACCACGAGATCGTCAGCAAATATATCTCGACTTTGTCCATTAACTGCCTTCTGATATTTGACTTCCGGAGGATTTATTTGGCACGTGTTTCTTGGTAGCGGTGTTCATAGTCAACCGTGACTCGACGCCACGCTACAAGTTAATATCCACTACATAACTCAAATCCACGTATCTGAAAAATATTTAACTAAAAATTACACATGATCAAAAGTCATTTAAAGCATGAGATAGTGAATTATAAGTGTTTTTAAAGTTATTAATCAGTCAATTAAATTATGATCTTTCTGTAAAGATGTTAAAATCAAGTTCAGATTCAAGGGTTTTATAAAAATTGTCATTGAGTAAATGATGTTTTGTTTTTGCACTCATTGGAAAATATAGATTCTAATAAGAATGACTAAGATTATATTGTTCGGGTTAATTCTCACTTACCAATGAAATTCGAAACCTGAAAAAAATATATGAGCTTGTTTCTTGACCAAGTCGAAATGTAAAAATTTGACAATCATAAACATAAAAAAATCTGAATATGTTTATTTTTTAGGCCATAACACACGTTTTTAAGATTGATCATTGATTAAATTATTATGTCTGGTTGTTGCTAACTGCTATGTCGGAACTGCTTATTATTTAGACTTGTAAAACTAGTAACTACTGCAATTCCGACGAGGTGAAGTGAGAACACCAAGGCTGGTACAAGTGGAGATTGATTAAATACAAAACACGACGACGACACCCTAGTCTAAATTACATCCATTTCTATATTGATTGTACACCCAATTTAATTAATAATTAGGATAAAATCACATATATGAAAAATACTTGGGGTTATAACAAATCTAATGCTGCGTGCCATGCTGAGCATGGTCCCTGTTAATTTAATACAAGAATATCATATGTTATACCGAATGAAATATCACACTGGGGAACAAAACAAATATTACTCTGAATAATCATCACACTGAGTAAAACAATGTAATTTTACCTTTTTAATCCCGTCATATCATAAATAAACGATGACTGTTAAATGAAGTGATTCATGTATTCATTCAAACCACTAATATCTAAGTATATGCCCATTTCTATCTCATTATCTATGATTTATATATATTCAACATATTCACTGATTGATTAATAAATCAATAGTTTTTGTAAACATCATTTGAATAATTTTGATTAGACAAATATATAGGGCCAGTGAAATGTCAGTGAGCCTTAGCCAAATTATCCGGTAGTTGGGTCACTGAAGATCGAACAGATCATCGATCCCTGTCAGTGTCAATGAAAAACAACGCGCATCACTTAATCGTACACCATGGACTGGCCCATGCGGTGGTGGTCGCACTTTTCCTTGTACTTATTCTTACTAATATATTTCCGTAATGACGTCCTTTATGCTGTACGTTTTTTGAAACAGC